TGTCGTCTCTCATTTGCACTAGCTCGTTTTTGTTGAAATATTTCATCTCGAACATACGAAACTGTCACAGTTGGTTGATGACGTGGTGTTTGCTTTGCAATATCACCAAATCTAAAAGAAAAATCAATAAATTAATCGAACAATCGTGATTTTTTATTATTGTTCATACCTGCGATCAAGTGAAAATTTGGTAGCATTTTTTAAAACGATTTTTGTCGAAACACCTGTCATGACTTTAAACAATGATATTCAGTTTAATTCGATGTTTTTCTCTAGAAAAAAATATAAGATACAATAAAATAAAACTAACTTGTCAAAAAAAAAACCATTAATCAGAGGTAGTTCGGACAGCTCACTGTTGAAGCTGCTCAGAAACAATGGCGTTAAATCTTATTGGAGAAGGGTAAAAACACAAATGTTAATCTGACAGTGACTGAATGAATGTATGATAAATCTACACAAGCAACCAATGGGTTCTCATAGAACACAATGGTAACAAGTTTAAATATAACGAAACAATGATGTCACTTGCTACAGACAAGAATTTGGATATTCTGTCTTTTCTTTTCTTTTTCTGATAAGTGTTGTATTTTTTTCGTATGGTAATCATTGGAGAAAATCTATTAGTTAACAAATTTTTTTCTTGAACACAATGGCAGACATGAACACTTTAGTACAAAATCACATTTTGATCGGATTTCAAAAGATATCTTAAAATGACCAATATATCTCTTCCATGGAGATGAAGAAAAACCAACATTTCGTCGAGAATGTTTCTTGTTACCTTTTGATTCGGTCATACTTTTACCAATACCAGACCAATGACTCATGCGAAAGTTTTGTAAGAGTGGCACAATGCGCTTTTACAATAAACAAAATTGAAGTCGAACTTTTTTTCTCTAAAAGTTATTTTGAATTCTTGTATTTTTGGTACTTAAAGCTTCCCGTTTAGCACATCGCCTGTTTGTGCTGTTTCTGGCGATTTTTGATGGACCCATGTGTAACCGTGCAAAATTCGTATTTTACCATTTTTTTCAGTCTATGGACCTAATAACCGATCTTGGCAAAATTTCAAGGCTATTGTAACTGTGAGAATTCGGCACATCGTAAATAAATGGAGTATATATAATCGGATCACTGATGACCACTAATCGTTGATTATTAAAAAGATGACTTCATTCGATAACGTCATCACGCCAAAAACTAAGGATGAGATGAGAATGATGGTTGATCGATGTTGAAGTCAAAGGGCTATCCAGTATGGAAATCTTGAACTCGCCCTGTAAAAGGTTCTTGACCAATTTTGTAAACCTATCCGGGTTTTTCGTGAAGAGATGAAGCCGACTTTTTTATTTCATTACGACTGCCACTAAACAAGCTTTAAAAGTACGTACTGATATTCATTTCAAAATTCTTCTCGCTTTTGGTGAAAATTTCGGTAATTTTTCGACGTGATAATTCGAAAAAAAACAAAATTGGTTGGATAAGATAACAACAGTACATCATTCGACTCAATTTTTGGCCCTGATTCTGAATATAATATTTTTATTGTATAAAAAGCGAGATCTGGGGAAGAAAATTGAGAATTACACGCAAAATTCTGATTTTTTCGGTAAGAAACAGCCACTGGACTAAAGGGGAAGATTTAAGTACCAAAAATACAAGAATTCAAAATAACTTTTAGAGGAAAAAATCCGGTTTCAATTTAGTATAAAACCGCATTGTGTCACTCTTAATCTGTATTAACATTTTTTTATTCAAATCATTTTTTTGTCTATGTCGATGTCTATGTTTAATCTCTCTTTGGTCGTCTATTTCTCAGTCCGTCATAGTTTATCAACCTCTGTTAATGATTTCACAATATATACATACCGTACAACACATATTCATTCTTTAGTTTACAATTCCTTTACAATCATGGATTTCCAACACCGTGCAGGTGGTAAAACAGGAGTTGGTGGAGTTGCTTCGGCATCTGAATCCAATCGTGATAGACGTGAACGTCTACGTCAATTAGCTTTGGAAACAATTAATCTAGCAAAAGTAAGTAGTATACTTTATCAAGGAACAGAAAAATATATAACTAGTTTTGTGTTATACAATGCTTCTATCTGATTCATTTGTTTCAATTCTCGTCTTTGTATTGTATTTTTTCATTACTTTAATATCAGAACTATATCGCAACGTTTTTCATTTTTCCTTCAGGATCCATATTTTATGAGAAATCATCTTGGTAGTTATGAATGTAAATTATGTCTCACATTACATAATAATGAAGGCAGTTATTTGGCTCATACACAAGGGAAAAAACATCAAGCTAATTTGTAAGTCATTTTCATTTATTTATTTAGTTAAGTTTTTTGATAACGTTAATTTTTATTTTGTTCTATGTAGAGCACGACGTGCTGCACGAGACGCAAAAGAGTTGCCAGGTTCAACGCAGCCTGCCAGACCGCAGGTTGAAGTTCGAAAATTTATTAAAATTGGCCGTCCTGGCTATAAAGGTATGTAAGAAAATTTGTATAAGCAAGTTTGAGATCATCTGTTTCTTTTTTCTTTTTTTAGTTACAAAACAACGTGATCCAGGTATGTATAGTTGTAGTTATATCTATAGTTTAAGTATTCTTATTATTTGATTTTCAGATACGAAACAACAAAGTCTTTTATTTCAAATTGATTATCCAGAAATATCGGATAATATTGTCCCTAAACATCGCTTTATGTCAGGTTTCGAGCAAAAGATTGAGCCACCCGATCGGCGTTGGCAGTATTTGTTGTTTGCTGCTGAACCGTATGAAACAATCGCATTTAAAGTAAATAATGTTTCTTCATTCTTCGTAACTGTAATTTTCAATTGAATATGTTTCCATTTTAGATTCCTAGTCGTGAAGTTGATAAATCAGAAGGAAAATTTTGGACACATTTTAATTTGGAAACTAAACAAGTAGAATAGTTACTGCTCCTTAATGACTAATATTTTACTATACTCTTCTTTGTCATTTTAGTTTTTCCTCCAGTTTGCATTCAAATTAGAATCAAAATATTCTAGTGATAGTTCATTATCATCATCGGCAGCACCCCGTTATGGGCCCATTGGACCACCACCGCCACCATCTATTCCTCCTGCCGGTAGATTACCACATTTACCAGCACCACCATCATTCCACCATTCAGAATTCTAAAAATATGTCGTTTTTTTGTTTGTACAGAGAAAAATGTTGTTTATTGTGTTCTTCAGAATAAAACATAAATATTAATTATTTTAGATCGAATCAGGTTCAATCAAAATCTCGATAGTCGTAAGAAACTAGTATTTTCTAGTTTTCTACGAGCTCATATTCATTTCATACATCTTTGTATTGTAACTATGGATTGATAGAGTGTGCGTGTATAACATCTATGATGTTTTTTATACAGTACACTAACCTTAACTATTCAATTGTGCACTATCTAACATATTTTTAAGCTTTTGTTCCACTAAACTGTTGATTTATTGCACAATTATATCGGCTGAGCTCCTACTGTTATGATGGGTCGCTAGTCTATCGTTGTTTCCTAAAATGTTAGCAGGAACTGACTTTGGTGAGAATCACAGAATGAATGGATAGGTTCTAGTACCACTTACTGTTTCTTTTTTTTTGCTCTCAACTATGTTCTAGTGAGAATTGATCCTACTTTAAAAAGAGTAAGAATTCACAGCGGTACACACATATTGAACAAAATAACTTCATCCTTTTTCTGTTCTCGTCCTTTCTGAGTTAAAAAATTGAGTTAACAATCAAATAAAACAATTCTATTATGATATGATGCCTCTGGGACTTTAGTTTACTACGTAAAGATCGCTGAAATCAAATAGTGAATGTAAAATCGCAATATTATTTTTGTACAGGGCATTATTATAGTTGTAATAAATTGTATTTTTTATGTACATAACTCAATGAAACCGTAAAAAATTACAAATTTTTCGTTTAACAACTCTTTTATCAACGTATGTAGAGCTAACGCAGTATAATTTTATATGTAAGATATCAAAAATGTGTTAAAAGTTTAGTTGAAATACATCTAGTTAAATTACATAAAATCAAGTGTATGTGTTCACAACCATTTAATAACATTATGTAATAAACAAACGTATAAACCAGATAAAAAAACTTGTGAAAAGTCAAAGATGGTATATACAGAGTTTCGGATCACAATGGTTGTTGATCTTAGCTATTGTTCTTGTAATGTAAAAAACTTAGTAACTTGTCCTAGTATACCGTAGAACATTTGCTAAGATAAATCGAGATTTTAGGAATATATTGAACCATTTAGTTCGTTGTTCATGCACAAACGGTGAGTAGAGAGCATGATTGAATTTACACCACACAACAGATCCTGTTTTATGTAAAGAAACAACGGTTACCACTGTCAACCACGGATTTAACAAACTTTTAAACAAATATTTCATCGAGAATGAATAAAAAACTTTCATAGTTGTAGTACAGTTTCTAAATCTGATATAAACAATTTTATCTGCTTCTATTTAAAGTTACATGCTTGTTTTTAACAGTTTTCCGAGTATAACAAAAAGTTCATTTTGTATATATATCCTTCTTGAGAAGACAAAAAATACTCATTAGTCATACTAATTATAAAGGTATGAACACCAATGTTATTTTTGAACTTGTATGTCTAGTTTTATGTCTTATGTCAATAGTCAACCAACCCAGCTGTTGTACAAAAAATTAATCAAATATTAACAATATAATCATCATAGACAAGATAATGTAATTACAAATAACTTTAATTCATATGAATAAAATTTCTAACATCTGTTAATAGCGGTGTCTTTTTTTTGTTTTTTTGAATGTCCATTACAAGTTGAATATAATCGCATGAATAATAGTTATTCTGTACATTAGAAAAAGAAAATAGAAAAGAATAGTCCACTCGTGTTATATTAAAAAACTAGAAAAAAATTTAGACTATATGGAATGGAGAACAAGTCTTCTTCTCTCGTTTTTTTTTTCATTCTTTTGTCAACATACATGTAGATTAGTAAAAAAAAAATGGATCCGATCACGAAGGACACAAAAATATCTCTCATTGCTCATGTTAGATTTTCAAACAAAAAAAAATAAACCTGCTTTTTTTCGTCTTTCTCTCTTCTCTTTCTGTCTTTTATCAAAAAAAAAAAAAAAACCGTTAGCATTCAAACGCGGTTGTGTTGAATAAGATTATATATTTTCTATTCTAACTGCGTCTCATGTAACGTTCTCAATAGGAAAATAGAGAACAACAACAAAAAAAAGAAATTTCAAGTTAGTAGACAGATGTATGACATGCTTTTTGTTTAAAACTGAATTATTTTCAGAGAAGAAGAGGTATTCATTGTGTCCCATTTAAGAGAAACAAACATTACAAACTTTTTATTTAGTAAAGTATTAATAAATATCTTTTAAGAAACAAATGTTTTAGGTTTTTCCAAATAGTATAAAAACTATTTCTTCGATTTTATCGAATATAAGCAGATTATTTATTTATTTTTTGTATGTTAGTACCTATATTTCTTCTTTCAGTTGAAGTGGTGTATAGAAATGGATGAACTCTATTGTATAGTGTTTTCAAGATATAAAAAAAAAACATACAATAATATATAGTTTTCTAAAGAAAAAGAAAATTGGACATTTTATCATTAAAGAAAAAACTATGGTGATAATAAGACTTTTTTTTTCTGATTAAAAAATTTTTTTTTAAGTTAGTTTTTTATTTAGATTATTTCATATCTCTCGTATATTTGCTTTGAAAAATTAGAGAAAAGTTTTAATAATAAATACAAATTATATTTATCTTGTAGAAGATTAATTTTTTTGTTAAAAAGTGTCGAACATAATTATTTTGAAGAAAAAAATGTCATATTTTATTGTTTTTTCTTCTATTAAGCCGACATTTAAATTTCTTATTAGATAGATATCATTGACATTATTTAATCCCTATTTGTGTACGTCTTCTTATATTTATATCTTTTTACTCAACTATTTCTTTTAATAATGTACATTAATAAATAAGTAAGAATTCTTATAGGAAGAAACTATACAGATTAGAAAAAGACGTTAATGATTGAAAAATCTGTTTTGAATCTTTAAATTGTTACATAAAATTATTTTTATTCTTCATCTTTCTATTCTAAAATTTTATTTGTTAGTCGAATTAAAGTATAATATCAGTAAGATCACAATAAAAAAAGTTATACACTATGTTTATAATGAGATTTATCTCGATGAGACGACTATTTCCTATTAAGAAGGAAACGAGATGTAAGACAAAACCTATAGTTGTTCTTCACATTACAATCGAATTATCCACAAATAATATTTGTTTCTCTCTCTCTCTCTCTCGAATCAACACATTGATGTTTTTTACTCTAAAATTTTTCTTAGAAATGTTAGATATGAATAGAGATTATTAGAACATTATGTCGTCAAGGCTATGTTTCATCCTTTTGAACACATGGAGCTCAATTATAGGTTTTTTTTTCTTCTCTTCTTATCAATGGATAACGATACTGTTGTTATTTTATTCCAATTTATTCTGTTTTTCTAATAATATCAAGTGACTAATGTAAATCAAACAAATAAAAACCTATTTATTTTATTTTTAGTCCTAATATTTCCATCTTTCCCAAAATGAACAATATTGATAATGATGACAATATAAGTAATATAAGAAATGAAATTAATTAATAATCAACAATCAAATATAATGTATGATGTTAGTGATGATTTAAGATTATACAATTTTAAAAATAATTATTTCTTATCATCAATATCATGTAATAAGAATTATTCAAGTCCTTCTCCTATCACTCAACTATCATCATCATCAATAAAAAGAGAAAAAAATTATTATTATTGTACAAAAAATAAATCCAACGTCTTATGTTCTCCATTTATTTCTCCTTCTCATACAACAATAATAACTACACCAACAAATATAATACCAACAATTATTCGTTCATCATCGTTAAAAACAAATAATAATGATGATTATTATGAACAATGTCGAGTTTCTTTATTAAAATCACGTATGGATAGTATTCAAATAAGTTCATTTTTAAAATTTGTTAATTATCATATATCAAAACGTGGTCAAGAAATTCACGATATATCAAAAGATTTATCAAATGGACAAATATTAATTGATTTAATTGAAATTTTATCATCAAATAAATTACCACGTGAAAAAGGACGAACATATTTTCATTCAATGCGTAATGTACAAATTGTATTAAATTATTTAAAATTAGATAAAAATCTTACACATTTAAATATTTGTCCAAAAGATGTTGTTAGTGGTAATATTAAACAGATACTTGCACTATTATGGTTAATTATAAAAACATTTAATTTTAATGGTTTTCATTTAAATAAAAATAAAAATTATTTTAATGAAAAAACATTATTTTGTGGTCAAGATCGAAGTCAATTATTAAAATGGTTAAATGATATTCTAAATAAAATATTATTAACTTCAAAACAAATATATATTAAAGATTTTTTTAAAAAAACATGGTTTGATGGATATTATCTAAGTCTATTATGTAAATTTATTTGTCCATTAAGTATTAAATATCAATCATTAACCTATGGACATCAATGTTTAACATTAATTCAACAGATTAATGATGATAATAATAATAATAATCGATTAGACGCTTGTTTGAAATTAACGTATCTTTGTTTTAATATTAAAATTGACGATGATCAACTTCTAATGGATGAAAATAGTCATAAAGAAAAAGTATTTTTTTCATATTTTTGTGAATTACAACAATGTATTACACATTTATTTACAGAAAATGATTTTGATAAATTAAAATTAAATCCATATTCAAAAATTATCATGGAAACAATTATGGATAATATAAATGGTATGTAAGATAATATTTTTATTATTTAATTTAGAAGGATAGAATAATTAGATCTGAATTTGTAAAATGTTTCTATTGTTATTCAATGAATTATAGACAAATTGATTGATTAATAATTTGAAATAGTGAATCAAAATTGTTGAACAAATATTTAAGTAAATTTCTAAAGGCATATTTGAGTTCAAGGTTATTAACAATTAGCTTCCGTTATACGTGCACATATTTGTAGTTTATATTCTTGATATATAAAAAGCCTCGACAAATCACTAAGGAATTATATATGATGAGGTCGAGGTTAATCTTTCACGCCCATTAAATTAGAATACACAATATTCAACAGCTGAAAAATGTTTTATTCTTATTATCAATCATCAATTGATTGTACACTTGCATGAATCAAACATTTTTTTTTTCTTAGTATATTAAGAGTCTACTGTGTATATATGTGTGTGTGTGTCTATTAGTGATGCCAATCTATTTGTTAATGATAGAACAATACCATTGTTATATAAGAAAACAAAATTTCATGTTTATTAATAGTTATTATTACGTATTAAAAAAAGTTAAGAATATCTTTTTCTCTTTTTTATAGATTCTTCTTCTTCTCCTCCTAATTTATCACTAACTGAATCTATCGACAATGATTATTTAATTTGTATTGGGGAAAATGATATAATCAATTTATCGTCAAATGAACAAAGTGAAGTCGAAAAACAAAATGATTTCATTACAGTAACACAATTACAAACAATCAATGAAAATCAACAAAATAAAGACGTGTTATGTAAAAATCATTCGACAATAGTCATTGATGAAGTACCTGTGAATGAAATTCAGACAGTTGCTGTTCCGGATGAAAATTCCACTCAAAATGAAGTTATAATACAAGCCGACGATAGTATACCCTTTAGAGTGTCTAATACGATGGTAGAAAATACAGAAGCTAATCTTGACAACAGTGCATGCACACTGAAAAACGAGAAAATGCTGTCGATAAACAATGAGGAAAATAAAACTATTAATAAAAATAACAATGAAGATTTGATAGAGATTAACAAAGATACCGAACTACCTATCGTAAATGGAACAGGAAGCGACATCAATCATCCTATATCAACAGTGGAGAACATTGAAGATAGTCAACCAGTTTTGGATGTTGTAGCAAATGATTCCGTTGAAAGAATCATCCCTGTCTCAAATAACAATAATACAAAACAAAAATGCGAAAAATCCAAACGACGCAAAAAGCCCACACCGAAAGTCGTAAAACAAAAAGTATCCGATGAGAACCAAAACAATATTACTGGAGAAGAAATAGATGAAATATCAATCACGGTCACTACTCCAGAAGGCTTATCTAAAGTGGCTATACTACAAGAGGATAACAATGATGAAAATCAAGAAAAGAGCAACGTTTTACTTGAATCTGAAATGGTGACACCTGCATTGGAAGTAACACAAACTACGTCTGACGATGGTGATGTTATGGATATTGCTGAAACAAACACTAATCATTTCACGTGAGTATTATTCATGCTTGATGATCGAGATATTATCATTTATTAAAGAAAACAGAAATGAAAAGTCTAGAGAATTGCAGGTTTCTCCATTTTGTAGCCCACAATGAGGCGCCTCTTTTTACAAGAAGTTTAGGTTCAAAATCTCTCTTGAAAATGATGAAGAACAAAAAGCCACTAGAGCTATTTATATGTCTACCATGAGTTAAACATGACATTAATTTTTCTTGAAGTCCTAAGACTGGTATTCGGTGACCTTAAAATTAATGGAAACCTATGATATAGGTCATTCTTGTGTTTGTTGCCAGCGAACTTACGTTTTGAGAAAATACCTTTTTAGGTATAAGTGTATAAAAACAAAACATTGATAAGTCACTCATAATCCCATTAAACGACTTGAAGCATTTAGAAAATACTTTATTCTACATGATTTGCTTTGTCATCTAGTTTTTCGTCACCATCTTCACGAAAGATTTTGAGCTTAGATTTCTCGTAGAAGAAGCGCCTCATTGTGGACTACAAAATGGAGAAACCTGCAACTTTTTAGTTCTTTCCTAACAAACAATATTCATAAAAATATTCTTGGTTTTTCTAATATTTTTTTCATGATGATAGGCAGGTATTTTTTTCATTGGTCTACACTTATCAATTAAAAACAACTTTCAATGGAATAACTGTAGAATTTTTAAAAGATTCCAAGCATTTCACCCCTTTCAGCGCAAAGAAACTCCACGAAGTTGTAAAATCATGTCTTAAAGCTTTCAGAGCTATTAAAACTTGATAATGCATTCTATTTTATTTTAGTGAAAAAGCTGTCGATAATTCAGTTCCAACAGAGTCATTATCGTTAAAAAATAAAGGTCGAAAGCGAAAAAAATCCAATAATAATAAAAAAGGCAGTGTGAAGAACGAGGTGTCTCATTCAAGTTCAAAGGATTTAATAACAGATGCCCAAACATCTTCATCTTTCAAGAATATCGCAGCTATTGTTAAGAAACATATGCATCATTCATCAACAACAACAGTGAAATATATTTTATTTTTAGTTTGTTTATGTTTTTCAATTCTTATTATTATTGTCCATCATTGAACAAATGTGAAAGCAGTGTGCATTATTTATTTATATGATTTTAGTGTGTAGTCTGAATTTTTTTCAGTCAAAATCATCAGTAATCGCGCCGCCTTGAGGGTGGTGGTGCTATTATGTATCTCATATAATCTATATTTATTCCAGTGAGCCGTCGAGCTTTCCCTTTTTCATTAATTTTTTGTTAACTTTTTTTCTTGGATACATACCTGCAGCTTGGAGCAGTATTTAATTTTTTTTTCTTCAATTTTGCACCTCATGCACCGTACATAAATTATTTAGTTAGGTCAAATTTATTTCATATTATTTTGGGTAATTATTCTTATTACTATTGTTGTTGTTGTTTATTGTTATTGTTATTTGCTTTTTAGTAGATTTCATCATTACAATCAGTATTTCCAGGCACTGATTTAGATGAAATGAGGATGCCGAAGTAGACTACAGTCAAGAAACATCCGACGGCTAGAACTTTGCTGGTATGTTTAGAGACAAGGAGTAGACTCCTCCAGCAGCTTTCTAGGACAAAGATTTATGAGGTATCGCATTCAAATACTAATTAACTGATAACTTAAATTATTATAAACTAATTAACTGACCTCATGAACCTGTGTGTAGTGGCACACGAGCTTTGCTGAACCCTTCTCTCACAAGTAAAAGTCATCTAAGACTTATAGTTATTAAGATCTACTTTAGACCGGTATGTCAAGCAAGCATAAGTTAAATAATCAGTCACTCAGACGTAGCTCTTATACCTAGATGTGATATAGTCTCCAAAGCTGTATATATCAAGCTACCTTCGAAATAACTTTATTTATATCCTTGTGATGTTCTGCGCTTCATACACTATGCATAATTGGAGACAGCATGAAGCGACACAAAATTTGCGCCAAAGTAATTAAAATTCAAAGTAGATAAATAATCAGAGTATATCAAGCCGATATGTGAGTTTTATAAATATTAAGTAGGTTTTTAAAAGTAATAAGCTTATGCCCTCTGGTTTACTATACTTATTAAACCTGAAACACTTAACTGATTGTGTGCGGATATTTAGCTCATAAATGAATTAGTGGAAAACTTAAGGTTATCGACATATAAAATACTGAGCCTATCGAAACTGTCAGAGACTAGACATCATGTTAAAGAAAATTAATGGTCGTTAACTAGCTATAAACAATTTTACTGAATTTCACTTCTTCAAATGAAATCCTGATTCAAACAATATGGAAATACTGTATATTATATCATGCAATCTGATCATCCAGCTCATTCAGCTTGTATTAAATGACGTATAGTCTTGTATTTTTTTCAAATTTTTGGTTTGTAGTTAACTACTAAGTACAGTAATGTACATTAAAAGTATGTCTAGAATTGTATAAAGAATATGTCACGTTTAATCATTGTGAAGTTTTCTCATCAGAATACTAATTGCAAGAAAAATGGAAGTAACGAAACGCTGTGTTATTCGTTGCATCGTCCGTCGTTTGGCTACACTGACTTCTATCCTCCTACTTCATGCTATTTTGCCAAAATTGCATGGCACTTGTCTCAGTCATGATAAGATCATTAGATGAAATGTAGATACTTTTTTATACAGGAGAAAGCCGTAATTTATTTCCAACATTTTTGTAAATTATACCATTCTCATAACTATTCCTCGAAACACGATGATAAAATACTGAAACAGACAGATGTTTAGAGTAGCTCTTTCAGCACAGAATTTGAAAGAAAGCAAGGTGCTAAGAAAAAATGTTTAGTCTTCTAACTAAAAAAACAGATAGGTTTAGAGGATGGCCAGTACATATTTCAAGGGTTGTACACGTGTTCCAAGAATTTTCTTGTTTAATTTTACATTGGACCAAATTTTGTTTTTTATATCCAGTTTTTCATGAATTAGAAAAAAATAGTTTGAGGAGATAGAAATAATAACAAAGGTTAAAATTTCGCTTATGTCTAAAAATTTCACTCATTTTATCTATTTTCAAAATTTGAATATTTCGACATTTTCCCACATAAAAATGTATTTCAAAAATTAAAAATTTACATTCATTTATGCAACTCGATGAGCTCTGTCCAACCACGCCCTACTCCCCAACATCTTGGAATCTTGGATCTTGCCCAAGATCTTACGTTAGGATTTGGCACTAGATCTTGAAAAAATGCGTATAAGATCTCAAGACATTTTTGTACCCAAGATCTTACGCAAGACCTTGGGTACAGATATTCCTTGATATCTTGTACCCAGAATCTTGAACATTTAAAAAACCGTCATATTTCAAAAATAACATTTTTTCTTTGCATCTTTTCAACAAGTGCTGGGAACAAAAAATATTCACCGCTCAGTGGTGAACATTTCATCCACCAGGATGAACGATCCCTAATGCCTCCCTCATGGAGTTTTGACTCTACTGTCGACGAAAACATAGTAACATTAGACACAAAATAGGGTGTTCATATATAGGATGACATCGCCAGAATAAGACGGTGAATGATAACCAATGGTTACTCAAAGATCTTTGATACAAGATGTCAAAATATTTCTGTATCAAAGATCTTGAGCCATGATCTTGGGTAAAAGTCATTTTACAGTCAAGATCTTGGATATAAGATAATTTTTAGGATTTTGTACGCAAGATCATGGACAAGATCTTAGGGAAAAAAATTTCGCTCAAATATTGAATTGCCACACCTTACTCTTGAATACAATCAAAAGATAGACGCATATCACCGAGCAACTTAGAAATTTTATTTGCTGAAAAAGAGCAGCGCTGAGTAAATTTTAAAATATAGCTCGTTCTGCAATATTCTAAAACCGTTAAATGATAGGTTTCTTCTCGCTTGGTTTCATAAGTGTAGAGTAAACTTCATCTGCATTTGTCATCAGATTTGTTGAATGTTCGTATTTGGCGCGAAAAAACTTGAATATGCCGAAGATTAAGAGACATCTGTCAAAGTTACATGACAACGTCGGCCTAAATTTCGCTGTTTTTTGAAACTCATTCGAAATTCTGTTGTTATATTTATCTAGCGATGATTTATGCTGGCTAATCTGGTTTTCTTTTACCATTCTATTTAATCTTAAAAGAAAGTTAGCAATCGTTCATTGAAATGACCATCGTAGCAAATGTAGATGATATAAACGATACATCATCATCGCAAAAATTAACATCAAAACGTACGATAGCAACATTAATTAATAGTTATGATACACAACAACAAATTATCAATAATAGTGTCACCGTTACGGACAAATATGTTCATCAGTCAAAACAATCAGCGAAACTTGAAACAGCAAAAATAATAAGCCCAAGAACAAGAGTAGATATACGTCCAATGACAACAACAACGGATTTAAATAAAAATTCAAATCGACGATTCGATGATAGAAAACCTACTAATATAACGACTACCACTGCTATGAACAAGTGCAACAGGATTTTATCTACTAAAACACAAACATCGATAAAAAAACTACCAGATCCTTATGACACAGAATCGGAACTCAACTCAACTGATATTCAGAAACAACAGGTTGAAGAAGCTATTTTGATTACAAAACAAAAGAACAGTAATAATTCTAGTAGTGATGGTTTAGTTGAGTCCAAGTGCCATCAACCATCAACACATCGATTTTCCATTACTAAACAGCCATTACATCAACGAACACCGACTCCTTTGAAAAAAATGATGAATGGTGGTAGACAAGGTCGCCAGCAAGATGATGAGAATAGAGATGAGGAAATAGAACAAATAGAAAAATTCGACGAAAATGATATTTGTGTTGACGAGGAAAATATTGGTGAATCACAGCAGAAAACGACTTTAACAAACCGTAGTCCAGGATGTAGGATACGTGCTAGTCCTTTGACATCATTAACAAAAAAAATAAATGTTATGTACAATACACCAACAAATTTATCGAATAATTCAATGTTTCAGGGTAATGGTGATCGTTTGATAACGTGTGAAAAGCAACAAAAATTAGATCGTACATTACTCAGACGTCGACAACGTTCAAAAGAACAACAACATGATGCCTCAGTTTTAGGTAATGAACAAACAAGTATTACATGGACTATTGTGTTATATATTATTGCCACATTAATTATATTATTCATATGTCATCGATTTCTTATTTCGGTTTGGCCTAAACGAAGAAAAACATTCATCGAACAAATGTGTGATTATTTAACCGATTTCTTTACTAATTGAACACTACCTATCGTTCGTGCGTTTTCAATTTTACTCTGCTCTATATAAAATGAAAGTTAAAAAATGTTCTCTGATAGAATTACTTTTAACAATGAATATCTAGATGGGAAGATAACGCCCAAAAATGACTTTCATATACCGTTAAATCTTTATGAATGACTAATATTAGGCTTACTACAATGTATGACAAATATGCACTCTTTATTATGTTCTTCAAAGATGACTCGAACTAAAATGTAAAAAATTTCTTATTACTAAAAGCATTTGACAATATTTACCGTACACAGAAAATAAACTCTACTAAAGAAATTCTCGATATCAGCATCACAACATTGTATATTGATCGTAAGATTAGAGTAAGTGTTGAGAGTAAGTCGATTTTTTATTAATATTAAGTTCTTTTTCTGTTTTCTCTGTCAAAGTCACATGTTTTAAATTGTAGATAAGCTTTGTTCAATTGTTCATTTGTTTCCTGATGATGACACGAGTAAGTGTCGAAAGCTCGAAATAACAAAATAAATTAAGATTTAGTTAAAAATCTTCAAATGTACTTTGTAGCAGTTCTATACAAACTCTTTCATTTATTTATTAATTAATACTGCTGTTTCGTAAACTTCAGACAATTTAATCTTCGTATTTTTCTATCTAACTGGTGGACCAGAATAAATAAGACAAAATCATTTTCTTTCTCTAGTCACTTAAATGTACTTTGATTCAGCTTCATTATCTTCTTTCATTACATGTTATTTCATTATTTAAAAACATAGTACAGAGTAAGGATAAATAAGAAGCACAACTGCAACGAACGAAACAGGTTGTAATTTTTTCTGCACTCGGCCTAATTGATTTTTTAATCACGTTTCTGTTTGCTATTCATCACAGGTACTTTGCGTAAAGAATGTGTCTTCATTTTAATTATTGGCATTGAAAAATAAAGTTTTTCCTGACATTTTGTCACTAATCAAAATTTTGATAATAAATCGCAGTTGTACTTCTTACCTATCATTACTCTGCACTATGTTTTTTCTAAAGCATTTTCTAAAGCATTCTTCCGATTATGGAAATAGCATAATAAGTTCTTAAATAAAAGAGAAAAACATTAATAAATGACTTTTACTTTCGATTCGTAAGAAGCTGAAAATGATTAAAACAAAGAGCTTTTAAAATTACGAGATGTATCTTTGAATACAACTAACTGATTGATTATATTATAATGTGATACACTGATCGAATGCCGTAGCACACATAAATCAGATATTTTAAAACGCAACGGTCAACTAAATAGCGAGTCTAAATGATACAAATCTGGATTAGTGAAGAGCACCGCATCGATTGATCTCATATATCTAAATGAAAATGGAAAAATCGCGCTAGTTATTTAGTAGTAAAACATATGCGACAGTTCCTCACCATTTATATTCCTTAATGAGTTCTTAACTAAAATTTTCATCTTACCTACAATCAAGTACAATCAAGCCGATAAACATCTGTAAATAATCTTAAATGACCCCTTATTAAACGCACGAGTTACCGCTTGAAGTTTTAAAATAAATGTCATAACGTTTTTATATTTTAAATAACATTTTCTGTCTCATATCAAAATCTATATCGGAGAGTTTCTGTACATTAAAAATTCTGTCACATAGACGACATGACAGGAACTCTGAGAACAACTAGAGAAAGTCGGAATTTGTCTATCTACACATCAAGAACATGTGTCTAGCCTCGATCATATCGTACGTTTGTTCAGCACTTCAAAGTAAAATTGAAAAAAGCTAAAATTTGATTAAATTAGTCTGAAAAGTATTGTTATCAAAAAAAGTTTTTTTAAAAGTTCAGATTCAAGTTCATAGTTTAACCATTGCTTATACCGCGATATTGAAAAATCATTTGCTTACTTGTTCTTTTTTATTGCTGTTTTGTTTTTCTCTTTTATTGTTTAATTAATTAGGATGTTTTACAAATAGAAAAATTCAAAACAATACAATAGATAACGGAAAAAAACACCGACGAACAAGCATATTTTTTCTTCTTTGAAAACATACTGGTGATTCTCGTTATTATTGTTGTTGTTATTTACGCAGCATTTTTATTTTTCTTTATATATTCTTGTAAATGATCATGTGCTGGTGTATCATCTCCAAAATCTTTTACCACTACACAACTACATCCAACAACTTTTCTTGCTTTTCCATCTTTATCTCGTTTACATAGACCGGCCCATTCACC